TTAGCTGGGCCAGTGTGTGTTGTGATTGGTTAGCTGGGCCAGTGTGTGTTGTGATTGGTTAGCTGGGCCAGTGACCCTTCTGTGATGTCTAAGCTGAATTTTCAGCATCATTACTCCAGTCTTCAGTGTCACATGATCCTTCAGAAATTATTCTAATATGCTGCTCAAGAAACATTTCTTCCTCTAGTATTATCAGTTTTTTTGTGGAAACCGTGATACATTTTTTTTTAGGATTCTTTGATGAATAATATGCTCAAGTGAACAGAATTTATTTGAAATAGAAATCTTTTGTAACATTATAAGTGTCTATACTGTCACTTTTGATTAATATAATGCATCCTTGATGAATAAAAGTATTAATTTCTTCCCTTAATGACCCCAAACTTTTGAATGGTAGTGTGATCCGATATGTGATCCGTGTGCAATACCTTGACGTAGTCAGCATGTCCGGGGCAGTCGGTGTGAGCGTAGTGTCTGTTTGCGGTGGTGTACTCAACATGCGAGGCATTGATGGTGATTCCTCTAGCCTTCTCTTCAGGAGCATTATCAATATCCTCATACGTCTTATAACGTGCACCGCCGGCCTCGGCAAGGACTGACACAAACAGATGAAGAAAATACACTCAGCGCACCACTTTTGATTAATAAGAGCAAAAAAAGTCGTCAGTTTACCTTTGGTGATGGCGGCAGTCAGCGTGGTTTTGCCGTGATCAACATGACCAATGGTCCCGATGTTCAAATGGGGTTTACTACGAGAGAAAACCTTCTTTGCCTCTGCTGCAAAATTCCTTCGACTTAGAGGAACTGTGCACTAAGGAGAAAAAAAAAGCATTCATACATTTCAATATGACTTGTAAATGTTCCTATAATACTATACCTTAGTGGCATTATTTGTCATACATTGCAATTAAATATATATAAGTAATTTAAACAAAAAGGAAAAAATGTTGGGTTTGATAAATGTTAGCTTAAGTTAATTTGGATTTAATAATTATGCAGTTTACAATATTTTGATTACGATAATCCTAAATAATATTATTACTCTAATGCATTTCAATAAAATCTTCTACTGTGTGAAGTTATGGACATTTGAACATGAAAACACTCACCAGTTTATAAGAGCTGTGCAGTAAACTCGGGGAGGTTAACTGCAGAGCTGAAAAACATGAGGGGGGAAAAATTAGCTTTATGTCACACAAACCTAATAATTCATCTACATGAGATTTATACTGTCTTCAGATTCAGGTACGAGTCCGAACATTACTTCAACAATGAAAGCAATTAAAAACAGGGCTCATTATCACATTAATCAACCCACCACAAAACCAATGAATCAAACAGTCTCTTTGCATAGCTGTCAAAAATAGCACGAGACTGAAACAATCCTAATCCATTTCCCAGAAGTCTAATCTTGACACAGGACAGGTTCTCAGTTATATATGAATGCACCACCTGATGCATTACTGTCATTTAAGTTGCTGTATCTCTATGGTACATAAGACAAGACTGAGGAACTTGACCTTGCTTATGGAACGCCCGAGCATCCTTCCTCTATCCACACTGACATTCACATATAAACGTATAAATGATAGATTCGCACGTAAAACACCCGTAGCTTGAAAACAAGGTCAATGTCACACGAAAAGAAAAATAAACACATTTTGTAACTTACCGGAGAGGCACGCGCGGATGCCCACGAGCGCAGCCATTTTGCGGACAATAATAAACACGCATGCGCGGAGACGCACACATACGCCATCAACACTGGACGCGGTTTGCGCCTTACCGTAAACATTCTAAACAAATTGACCATTAAAACTGAAAAGTCGGCTCTTTACATAAAAAAAAGCATTTCGGATCCCCCGGCAGCTAATGTAAATAATGTGACTGTAATAACCTTTGTTCTTTTGAGGAGAAAATCTTTTTAATGCATTTCTCGTTCACATTAATGTTGTGTGTATATGTATAATATGTAAGGGATAATCAACAGCTAGCCCTGCATTAAACGGTTTTACTGCATACCTGCCAGCCAATCAGAATCCAGTATTCAGACAGACCATGGAATATATGTATATATATATATATCACTCACTTAAAATTACATTTTTTAAACCTTGTAAACTTTAAAAATATAAGTAAAAATGAAAGCAAATAAAAAGCTAATATAAGTTACTAGTGTAAAACTGGTAAGAAAAAAACCTGCCACTTAACATGAGGACCTTGTAGTATTAATATTTATTAAAGGATGATCAAAAATCGTTACGGTAAAGTTGATGACGTGTTTACGCGTCGACGGTTTTCGCACGCGTCGTCGCTGTGTGCAGCGAGATCTGGTCTGGAAGCTTCTGGAGCCGCAGTGCAGTGGTGTGTTTATAATAGCGGAACTCATGCACGTTATTATTACTACTGCTGGGAAACTTTTTGACACACGGCCATATAACTTATACTAATACTAAACACAGCGTTTCAAAGGTAAGCCCGCTTTGTATTTCCCGTGTTTAACGTTACCTGGTTTATCTTTATTTTGTACCTGGAGTAGAATGTGATTCAGTTTATATTTGGCTAGTCAGTGGACCCTTATCTGTGAGATATTATATCTGTAAGTTAAATAATAGAAATAAACACATTAAAACATATTATATACGATAAAATAGCTGTATGTCAAATAACAAATACATAGGTGAAAAAACTTAATCTGTGAAAAAAACGTAACTGAGGTATTTATGTATATATCTGTAAGTTAACTAAAAAAAATGTCAAAAACATCTGTGATGATATATTTGTAAGTGAAATAAATTAAAGAAACATGTCAAAAAATGAAACCATTTAAGTTCAAAACGTGACAGGAGCAGCTACCACAAAAAGTCAACCAAACAAATATTTAGTATTACAAATTGTAAATGTGATTTTGTGTGACTTTTACAAAGTTTTAATAATGAATGTATTTATTGGGCCTATTTAAAAGCATTTATGGACTAACAGAAAAACAATGATGTGTGATGCATCTTTTTCTCCTTAGATGGCAGAAGGCAGAGGTAACAGGCATCGCCCCCGTAATTTGCAAGGTGTGCTTCAGATGGCTGTGGAGGCCGGTTCTGCTTCTGAAGATCCAGCTCCACGAGAACCCATGACGCAAGAGGTTGGAAAAAACTCATAACGCTCCTTCTAAACAGTAGCACCAACCACCATGCAATCTCTGAAATGTGTCCCAGCAGATTTACAAGTGTCTTCTGTTATGTTGATGTTAGTGTTGTATATTAAAATGCTTTCTCTTATCCAACTTTCTAGAGGATGGAGTTTCTAAGAGGAGCTCTTGCGGAAGTGTGTAAAGGACAGATGGATGAGGTCGAGCAGATGAAACGCTGTTTGGAAGTGCTGTGTAGAGATGAATGCAAGGAGAGAGGGAGCGAGGAGGAAGAGGAAGAGGAGGATGAGCGAGAGGAAGCGCTGGAAATGCTTTCTGAGCTCTGCGAGAACTTGGACAACGCAAGAGGTGTGTGTGTTTGCTCTTCAAACCCTCTTGTTGTCTTCTTGTAACGCCTAACACGTGCATCACTTCTCTGTGTGTTTTGCAGATCTGATGAAGCTGGGCGGTCTGGATTTGTGTATGTCGCGGTGTCTCTGTCACTCCGAGGCCGGGATTCGATGGAGGGCGGCTCAGCTCATTGCCAGCTGTGCCCAGAACATGCCAGAGGTGCAGTTCTACCTGCTCAACCAGGGGGCGCTGCTGCTGCTCCTGCAACTCACAGATCATGACGCAAACAGCACTGTTAGAGTTAAAGCACTCTACTCAGTGTCCTGTAAGTATAAATGTGCATAAAGGTAGAAGTCTTGATTGATATTGACCAAGTTTTAGCATTGGATATCTGGGTATTCACAAAGCGTGTGACCGTATATGAACGTTTTCATGACCATGTCAGGATTTAACAGTACTAAAATGTATTCTTAATTCATTTAATCTTGTTAAGAAGAATTTTTTTGACATCTAAAATATATGTGAATTGAAATAAGCTGCTTTATATAGCTCAAGATGCAAGGTTCCTCTGCATAACAACGCAGGTACAAGAACAAATTCATATGCCTGTGCACATTTTTTGGGAATTTTTTGGAGAAGTTCTCCTGTGTGTACAAATATAAAATAATCCAAGTAATTATTAATGAAAGAAAACAACTGATTTTAAATGACTCTGGGTAATATTCTCTTTTGTTTTTGCGGATGAGGGACGTTTGATTTGACCAAACATTTCTGCCAATTGACAGATGAGCTTATTTCAAAATACTATAGCGTTTGATGTTAACGACAAAAAACACGGAAAATTTTTGCTCTTCCTTTTAAAAAGTTGAGAAACCTAGTTATTTTTGGTTGGTGACCCAACATTGTTTTTTTTTTTATTGAAAGGCTTCCAGTAGCAAGTCTCCTCTTTATACGGTCTCTGGAATTAAGAATCTTCAACTCTTGTCTCTTGCAGGTTTAGTGCGGGAACAGGAAGCAGGTCTGCGGGACTTCCTGTCACATGATGGCTTTTCAGTGCTGATGAGGGGGATGCAGTCAGACAGTGAGAAACTGAGAACTAAATCAGCATTCCTTCTGTTAAACCTTCTGACCTGTCATCCAGAACACAAAGGTAGTGCTGATTCTGGAGTCTGTGAGACCATCAAGAGTCCAGAGTGGATGAGTAACTGTTTCCATCACCCTGTTTTTATGCGCATTTTGAAGTATTGCATCAGAAACAAGTGATGGAAATGCTGAATTGAAAAAAAAAAAATCCCTTAATTCACAGTTTTTATGCTCGCTTGAGGTGGTTTTTGACTTGTGCGAAAAAAGAGTCAATGCAAATAATCGGAGATGGAAACACATTTACCGAACAAATTCCTCCATGCACATCAGAAAAGTCATGTGACTTTGAGTGATGGGATGGCAAAACCTGACTAACCAGTGGACGGATCTCGTTGTGCAGCAGCTGAAATAGTGATCGACCGATATATTCAATTCAAGTTTATTTGTATAGCGCTTTTCACGATACAAATCGTTGCAAAGCAACTTTACAGCAAATTAAGTTTCTACAATATATTTAGTAGCTTATCAGTGGTGACTGTCAGTTAATGTACATATGGCAGAAATGTACGGAAAAATCAATTAAAGACATAATCAAACAGACGATGAACACTGAACACTATTAACAGCAATTATTATATGATGCATTCAAACTTATAGCAAAATTAGGTAGTTCTGTATGTTGTTTGTATATATCGGCCGATATTTGGCATTTTTCAAATTGGCATCGGCCGATACGTTTTTCTGTTTGGCCGATTTATTCGTGGCGGGACTTTTATTTTGACGGCGCTGAGAACGGCAGCGCCTGCGCACACAGTGCTCACATTCTCCCTCTTGTTCGCCGTCGTCGTTAACAGTTCTGTCCAACGACAGAAGTCTGTCTAATAATCCGATAGAACTGTTAAACAAAGGAATTAAAATGTATACAAAAAAGTATTATAACGATTGCTTTTATATTGTTGGTAATAGAAAGGCAAACATTATAATACTTTCTCATTTGCCGTCAGCATTCAGCAAATATGCATTTACACCATTTAAACAAATCTTTGAATGACTAATGAACATCTAATTTAAAAAACCTTGCAAACTTAGTCGAATCCAGCTGTGAGATCTTATGAAGTGTGTATTTGTATCCTGCACGATCGCGTGTTCTCTGCGTGACGGTCGGTCCGTGCGAATTGAATACGGACAGGAGGAAAGTTCAGCTTCACTGGAGACGCGCGATCAACAAACTTTAAACTCGTGAATTCATATTATGCTGCACTTCATGCATTTGCCCAATGTCATATTAATGTCATTTTCATTGTGTGCTGTATGTAAAATGAGTGTTACCTTGGCTTTATTTGAAAAAATGTGATTCCCAATGCACACAAACTTTCCAGAATACTGAGTGCCCTGTTGGTTACAGTGTTTACTTCCTTTTTTAATTATATTTTTAATAAATATTTATTCATTTGTGAAAAATGCTTTGTCATTTAAAGTATAAGCATGTCTATTTAACACATTTATTTTTTAATCCATTTTCAAATGATTTCTAATTTCTTAAATATTAATTAAAATGTAATTAAATTATATCGGCTTTATATCGGCCACCCTGCTTTCCAAGATATCGGCATAGGCTGTCAAAAAACCAATATTGGTCGGCCACTAATCTGAAATGTTGTTATGGTCATTCTGAAATGCCTGAGCAAAGTCTGTCATCAAAGTCTATCCGCCTCCCAAAGCAAAGCTTTGTCTGCTCGTTCTGAGGTGCAAGGAATTTATTTGAAAATGATTACATTAGTGGCTTCCCTTACTTTTCTTAGTGAAATTTAGTGCCAGTTTATCAAGAAGTGACTATTTTGTTCTCGTTGGATGGAAACGGTGCTTTATTCGCAAATGTTTTATGCGATCTTCCAATTTTGCACACAAGTTAAATTTGCAACTTTGGATGGAAACATAGCTAGTGTTTCATGTGTTCGATCTTACTTTCTTTTTTCAGATACAGTGTTGTCTATGGGGATGGTTCAGCAGCTGGTGTCAGTTCTTCGCTCCCCTCATTCCTCTGTACATGAACATGTGCTAGGTGCCCTCTGCTGGTTAGTAGCATTGTTGCACGATGAAAACAAAACTGCAGTATGCTGATGGAACTACATTTTGGAGTTTGAGACTTGGTTTCTGACTGTTTTTTCAACATATATTTGTAGTCTGGTTGAGGACGCTCCCCGCGGTGTGAGCGATTGCAGAGATCCATCGCTTGGCTTGGAGGAACTGCTCAACCAGCAAGTGCAGGACCTAAGGGGGCGAGAGGAGAGCCTGGTAAACTATTGTTTTATCTGTTTCTCGTTCCTGTACTTTGTTCTTCACTCTCACATTCACGTTCAAATCTAATATGTTAAAATCAACATTAAATCAAAATGGACCCAATTTACTTTTTACTGGTCTTATTTTTTGTGATTTGTAGGTGCATGTTCTTCTAAAGACAATCCATCATCAAAACTAACTGGTTTTGCCTCTGAAGTGACTTTCTAAGCTTATGTCACCTAGGCCACACATGTAGATATGAGCAACATGGGTGGGAAAAATAATATAGATGCATTATGCAATGCTTTAGTCTGCTCTTGTAGCCAATGCAGCCTTTCTAAAATCTTACACCGTAATTAAATGTTAATTAACATTAACAGCATACAATTCTACCTCATTAATAGCAAATAACAATATATTTGCCACTGTTCATGAGCCAGTCAGAGTTTGGTATCGTAAACTAAAACTATTAAAAAAATGTTATTGTTCATTGAAATAAAATAAGTATTGGGTGAAAAACTTGAAAGAAAATTGGAAATGTGTTGCCTTGGCTACTACTAACTGAAATAAAATTACTACTAATAAAATAAAACTATTAAAAATAACGAAAGTATAATTTAATTGAAAATTAAAAATATTAAAAAATATATTAAAAATTTTAATGAAAAAATATAAGTTATGTAAATAATACTGAGCCAGTCGGTTCCCAATGAATTTAAGCATTTTCCTCCATTGTTTTATGAACCAGAATATTCTGGTTCACATGTCACATTTTGCCAGTATAATGGGTTGCGAATTATGTTTCATTGTGACTTAAATGTTTGACAAATTTTCTTTCCTGCAGGAGGAGCTGGAATTTTGTGAACGTTTACGAGTGGCTTGTTTCCAAGGGCAACCCCAGGAGGATAATGGAATGGATCGCTGAGGTCTTATTGGCGATTCCTGCTACGCAGTGATAGTCAACACAAAAGAAGCGACCTGAGTTTGAATTCCCTTTCTGTTCAAGAGAGAAATAAAAACTAGAAATATACTTTTAAAAAGAGAAAAAGTGACGTTTAACTCTGAATTTTCAGAGTTCAGTTTGGCTATGTGTGCTCTTGCATACTCGTATACCATGAACTGTACAAAAACACTGTTGTGTTATATTATGAATATGTACATTTTGTATAATATGTCAGTTTGTTATTGTAAATGATGTGCTGTTTAGGGTCAACTTGTTTATTTTTCCTCTTTACACCTGAAGAACCATACAAATGCAAAGCCATAATGTAGAACTTCACGTCAATATAAAATATTTCGTAAATTTTTAAGTAAATGTTAAAGTGTATTGATACAAGCCCCTGTCCAAGTTTAATTCTGATCTAAACAACAAAAACAAAACATGGTAGTGAGTTCCAAGATTCAGAAACATAAAAACACCTGCACAAATATCTGCTGTTTCACTATTGCATAATGAAATGATTGCATGAAACAGCCACAATGAATTTTTGGACTTCGTATTTTAGTATTGTCCTGGGCTGCATTTCCCAAAAGCATCGTAAGCTTAAGTTCATCGTAGCTCCATTGGTTTCAATGGGTCTACGTTGTACTTAGGCTTACGATGCTTTTGGGAAACGCAGCCCTGATTGATCTGTATGTTTTAAAAATAATGTTTCAATATGTTTAACATGTAGCTGATTATAATAATGTAATATATAAAATATACATAGAATGGAATAGATATAATATACATATTTTTGATCCCATGATAACTGTTTCAGAAGAGATTAAAATGATCAAGCAACAATTATTTATGGTTTATTCAGGATAATTTGGACATTTTTTCCAGTCATTTCAATGCCAAAACTTTCCCAATTTACCTGAATTCACTTCTATCAAATAAGATTTAAACTTTTCCAAACATGAAAATCCTAACTATTTTTCTATTTGGTGACCTGGTTAGGTTGTTTACCTTGTGATAAAACGTATCACAATTACATTTCAAAGGCTGCTTCGATATAGAGTAAGGCCAAAGTAGAAGCTTCATCTATCAACACAGTTTCCACTTATTCACAAGAAGGACTTATATTATTATTATTTACTAGAATTATTAAACATATCTGAAAGCAATAAGAAAACTCTAAGATTACATTAAAAAAAGCTTTAAAACAGGTGTTATAGAATTTCTCAATTTTTAAGTCTCTTTGAAGTAAATGGTCCCCCATTAAAATCTTTTTACAATACAATAAACTTTTTGATGATGTCCATTAAGTTGTTAAAATTTTTGACACATCTTTTCTGGCTTTGTTTTGAAAATAAGTACTTGGGTTTTGGTTTGTTCAGCTGTAAACAGACTGAAAGCATCTGTCACTTTCTCAAAGCTATATCTTGTGTTTACATAAGTGTTAGCATGTATTTATAAGGCGGATGAGGTGCAGGGTAGATGCATAACCGGACTGAGTGAACAGAGACTCTTCAGTGCTCTCAAGTTCTGTCCTCATGGATTGGCATTTGCGTCTGCTTCTTTCTTTGCTTGTGGTGTTTGCTGTTGAAGGTAAGCCATATGTTCAATGTTTTAATCACTATGCTGAATAATAACTGGTTTATTTATGTGTACAAGCACTAGATATATTACCTACATTTTATTTACTCAAAAGTTACATTAATGTAATTTGTTCACCTTGTCATTTTAAACACAGATGACATTTTCCCATCATGAACTAAACTTTGAAGAATGACTAGAACGCCCTTTTTTCATAATCGGGTCAAAACATGATTTAAAAAGCAACATAAAAGTATAGTAAAAGTTTTTAATGTGCCAAGCTGTACAATAGCTTTGTTTGAGTAACAGACCAAAATGTATTCATTATTCACTTAAAATATTGGGAAAGGAAAGGAAGGACTTGACGTGTGGCCAAGTATGGTAACCCATACTCGGAATTTGTGCTCTGCATTTACCCATCCAAGTGCACACACACAGCAGTAAACACACACCCGGAGCATTGCTGTACGTCATCCCAGGTTTGACGTCAATGACAAAACATAAGAACCTATAACGTCTCAGGTTACTTATGTAACCATGGTTCCCTGAGTAGGGAACGAGACACTGCATCCTCTAGGGGTCGCTATGGGGAACGCCTCGTCGTGACCCGTGTCTGAAGCATACATTGAAAAAACACCAACAACACGTTGGCCGACGACAGCCCATGACGTCACTACCTGTGCGACTATAGTATAAATAGGCGCCGGGAGCACACATCATTCACTTCTTCATCTGAAGCTTGCGTTTTGTTTGAAGCGTGCATTTCCGTGGTAAGAGCGATCTATATTCCTGTCGTTATGGCGAGCACTCGTCGTTATTTGACACCTGATGACACACACAATCTCTGCGTTGTTTGTTTGGGCAAAGAGCACGCACGCGATGTCTCCGAGGGGGCAATCGGCGTGCACTGCGAGCGTTTTTTCCAAGG